AACTACATTTACGCAATCATTTACATCGAGGCTTTACATTTTCGTTGCAACGTCCTATCGCCAGTCACGGGGCTGACTTCAGGATGGCTCGAAGACAAGGAACAGAAGTCATTCTGGCTTGTAACAACCAATCACCTGGACAAGGAACCAAGGGAGGGAGGGGAGGGGGCAACACAGCAGCCCTATCTCCCACCAGGTACGCTCACCAATCCCTAATGCTGTGCACACAAGCCAAAGCCGTACCAAGGCGCCGCACTAGGGCCTCACACGGAGCTAAACCACGGCAAAATCCACACGCCGAACAGCGCTGAGAGCTCCCCAACGGAGCTGATCTGGCGCTCAGCTCCCTCTGCGCGCCGCACAGAGCTGAGAGCTCCCCAAAGGAGCTGGCCTGGCGCTCAGCTCCTTCTGCGCGCCGCACAGCGCCGAGAGCTCTCCAACGAAGCTGGCCTGGCGCTCAGCTCCCTCTGCGCGCCGAACAGCCCTGAGAGCCCTCCAATGAAGCTGGCCTGGCGCTCAGCTCCCTCTGCGCGCCGCACAGCCCTGAGAACCCTCCAACGAGGCTGGCCTAGCGCTCAGCTCCCTCTGCGCGCCGCACAGTCCTGAGAGCTCCCCAACGGAGCTGATCTGGCGCTCAGCTTCCTCTGCGCGCCGCTCAGCCCTGAGCGCCCTCCAACGAAGCTGGCCTGACGCTCAGCTCCCTCTGCGCGCCGCACCTTGTGGATGCGTCGGATGAGGCCGCGCAGCAGGCCGAACTGGACCAGCTGCCGCTCGTTGACCCGCAGCGCCTGCATACTGTGCTCGGTGCAGAGGTCTCGCAGGGTGCGGCTGTGCGTCAGCGCGCAGTACAGCGGGAACACGTGACCCACTGACGCCGGGATGCACTCTGCGGCAGGCGGGGCGTCGGGCTTCACAGCCGGCTGGGGTGGCGAGCCTCGTCCGCTCGCTCGCTCGCTCTCATGGGGGACTGTGCACCACGAACGGTGCGGAAAACTGCACAGAATCTAACGAAACTGAGAATTTCAATCTTTGTTCTCTCCCGTAACACCCAAAACGTTTTGACTGACAAAAATGTCTCGAACGCACAGTCTAAGCAGCCTACAAGGAAAAACAGATTCAACGTGGTATGCTACAACTTTGAAATAATTTGACAAGCATCATTTTGGTGGCACTCAATCCCTTTCATGATGCAACCAGCGCCAATCATATGTAACGCTTATGCACGACACTGAAAGAACATATGAATTAATGACTGAATAACAAAGCAGTAGACAACCTCCCTGACGACCGGCACATTAATCACGGCTTAGTGCACTGGTCGCACTGTAGCAGCACATTTATCGTCCCTGGCCACGGCCCAACGGTACTCACCGTCCCTGGCCACGGCCCAACGGTACTCACCGTTCCTGGCCACGGCCCAACGGTACTCACTGTCTCTGGCCACGGCCCAACGGTACTCACCGTCCCTGGCCACGGTCCAACGGTACTCACCGTCTCTGGCCACGGTCCAACGGTACTCACCATCCCTGGCCACGGCCCAACGGTACTCACCGTCCCTGGCCACGGCCCAACGGTACTCACTGTCTCTGGCCACGGCCCGACAGCACGGCAATCACCGTCCCTGGCCACGTCCCTGGCCACGGTCCAACGGTACTCACCGTCTCTGGCCACGGTCCAACGGTACTCACCGTCCCTGGCCACGGTCCAACGGTACTCACCGTCTCTGGCCACGGCCCGACAGCACGGCAATCACCGTCCCTAGCCACGATCCGACCGCACAGCACTCACCGTCCCTAGCCACGGCTCGACAGCATTCCTCCTGCAGGGGCCTCTCGGTGTAGAGCCGTGTAATCTCCGGCGTTACTACGTACGTATTGGAGTACTGGAATATTGATGTCAGCTCGACGAGGCCATAATAACTGCCGAAGAAAGGCAGCTGGTGAACGCACATTTCCCGCATATGTTATGCAGCTATGCACATACAACGGACAATGTCCAGAGCGCGGACAAAACGAGTTCAACGACAAACGCACACTAAAAATTCTCTGAAATGAGATATATAATGGAAAGTTTAGTGGTTTAGTCGTAGAGGGCGAGTGCAGTCGGTGTGCGCACCACCTGACACGTGCACGGCATTACGAGCATTGCATTGCATAACGGCGTGCAATGGCACATTCACCCAATGGGAACGCCTGCATGCCATGCAGGAGTGGAATGGGGCATTGCACCCAACGACATGTAAGGAGGAGGCATATGCTTCAATTCAAACACCATGACCACAGGACGCACAATCTGGCGAAACATCGAGACCGCCCCCATGGCTTGTGCACTGGCGCCAGATACACTTACAGCAGATTTCTGATGCACGCTTTGACCAGCTGGACCTCAACATCAGCCAGGGCTGATATCTTGGCCACGTGCGCCACGCCCTTGATGTGCGGGATGATCTGCTGCGAGGTCATGTCCCAGTGCTCCAGTCGTGGCCGCCGGCGGCCCACCCACACTGGCACATCGTGATCGGCCACGTGCTTCGGCGCCGGTGGCGTCCGTACCACCTTCAGGTGCACTGGCACACTGCCATCTGCCGGCCACAGACGGAACTCATACCACAAAGGAACGCGAACAGATTGAGGATTGAATGGAGATGTAACGGTTGTGGACTCCTAACAGATGAATGCATAATTATGGTACAAGTAAAGCAATCACTAGCACAGCCAAGAAATAGCAAATAATCTTGAGCACAAAAAGAAAACAGAACACCACAATGCACCATCCCTCAACACCAAGGTAAAAGGCAAACGGAAGCTGGGTGTTCAGGAGTACTAAATGTTCCATACAGCCAGAGCTCTGTAAAACATCACAGCTCCAGCCACCTAAGCACGAACCCAATCCCGACCCCAAGCCGGCTGCAGTCTCGCCGGCCGCTCACCGACGGAGAGGACGGCGTGGCCTGCACTGTTGAGATCCTGCAGCATGGCGCGCAGCACTGCTGGCATCTTGGCTTGTCCTTCGCGACCCGAGAGCAACGCCGTCTCATGCTCCATCTGCACCAGCCATTCTGAGGCCTTGCGCACCACTGGCTCATACTGGATGGTGCGCTCGCCACTCTCACACACTAGGCAAACATTGAAGATGAAGGCGTTGCGCGCGTACTTCTTGTCTGCGATGGCATTCGGGTAGCCCACAATCTTGAGGCCGCGTGGCGGCCGACGCCGCTCGCCCAGTGTTGGAGAATCTGCTTCATTTTCCAGCAGACTGGTGGTAGAGGAGACGAGTCAGGGGAAACCACAGATTGGGTTAGTTTGCCATTACTCAGCAGTGGTGATGTGCCATACATCCTGTGAGACCAATGATGCCAAAGGAAAACCAGAGGCCAGATGAGAGGACAAGACTGGTCTTCAAAGTGCCAGTAAAGCTGCTGTCAGTCAGAGGCAGCCACAAACAGCTAACAGTGAGGGAGTTAAAGAGATCCTCACAGAAAAAAACTATGTGAAGTCCAAAAATGGTGGCACAATCAGAGATGCCTGGGAGGTTATTTGGTGGTTGACAGCATGCAGAGCAATAATTTTCTAAAATTCTAGGTCATGCCATCTGCAAAACTGACTGAACAATGCAACACTGTGATGCTGAACTTTATAATGTTAAAAAGAGCTTAAAAGCTTGTTAAAAAGCTTGGTTTTAACTTAGCCTGTGATTTTTTATTCAAGGCTTGACAAACAAGACTTTGTTTTTCATTACTTCCAGAGCATTCTGACAATGACAGAACTAACAAGCACACATGGTAAATCAACTATTATGAAGCTTACATGGTGTTTGTAACAATCCGCTTCTGGATGTCTGGTTTGGGAATGATGTACACACTCACAGCATCAAAGATGTCCTTTGAAATATAATCATCTGGAAACTGGTACAAGCAACTGTTATTCAATGCCTGTCTCACATGGATCTGGAGATAAATGTGCCGAAAACAATAGCAGGCTAGTGATCTGGGGACTGCCAGCATCACAAAGTGATTGCAGGAAATATTTATTACTGTATCAAGATTATCATCAGTATCTTTATCTAAGCAAATAAATCTAGATTTCTGCAAATATCACAGAAAGCATGGCTTAAAAATGGCTTAAGAACAGGCAAAAGTTACATATCTTATCAACCTACCAGCCAACAGAGTTATGCCTGAGAGAGCACTCAGCCAGCAGCTGAGGAGCTGCTGCCAACATGGGCATCTCATCAGGACAGCCTACCTGACAAACAATTCTTGGTCCATAGTCTGCATGAAATTCACTGAAAAAAATGCACTGGATTGGGCCTTCTTTATTTGACTCAGCTATGTCCTCCAGCATCTTGTCTGTCAGAGACCAGAATACATCAGAAACATCACATGGGCCATGTCACCAGGAGCCACTTGCTAATGCTCTCATGCAACTGCACTTCCTTCAAAACACTCCTACTTCACAAATGGGCACCAAACATGAAAGGGTAGCATATTCTTTGAATAGGCCAACCACTTGATAACAATCTTGGGTACCACAAGGCCACATCTTGTACTTTCTGAAAAGGTCTGAAACTGCTAAATCTAGTACACAAACCATATGAAATTGACACTTGTAGATGCATGAGAAACTTCTGAATACCTCTCACAACTTCATTTAGCCCTCTGTGTCATATAACGAAAATAAAAAGCGTTTCCCTGCACACCACATCCACCCAGGTCTCAGCGGCATCGGCGGCGTGGGCCTCGCACTTCTTACAGCAGCCCTTGCCAATTGAATTAAGTACACAAGGCACAATAATCTTATCAGTACAATGCAATAATTTTGTGTGCAAATAGTACCTTCACGCATTTGTCTGCGCACCGTAGTGGCGACCAACAGCGTAATTCCCCGCGTTTCTCGGCCGTCCACTCTGCATCAATCAACGAATGGATTTGAAGTAGTCCACTGTCATCCCTGTGTATCGCCATAGGTTCATTCAAGACATCCTGGAGGATATTTAGTACAGATGCTTGCTGAGCGGGGAGCCTGTGTTTAGTACCGATTCGTACTAAAAGTAGCGACGTTCAGTACGCATAGATGCGAAACAGAGCAGCTCGGTAACCCAGGGCTGAACAGAGGAAATGAGGCTGTTTAGAGGTGAACGTCGTGAATTTATTTTTGTTCGATGGGAGTGGAAACCTTCACCATTTTTGGACCCCAATTCCATTTGAATGCGAGTAGCCACTGGGACGCGGCAGGGTCGGAGCACCATGTCACCAGCTCCGACGTAATTTCAGCGTCTTCGGCGCATCGTCGTCACCTTCGTGGTATCACGATTAAGGGCTGCGTAAATCCTGCCAAATCACGACTTGACATATCTTAGAATTCTTACGGTCTGCAAATTCCAAAGTCCGGTTCGGGCAGCCCACACGCACAGCGGGACGAGATGTAGCAGGTGCCGCCTCTTTCGGAAAACTAACTGATCTTAATCTTGGGACACACCGCTGAGTATCCAGCGTTGATGCTTTGTAGCCAGGTCATTGTGACGGCACTGGCTCCGGTGCTTTGCATCAAAAGCCGTCGCAGAGCATTACCTATGCTATGGAAACGCCTATTTGTCTCAGGTGCGATGCAGGGAGCTTTGGCATGGCATAACGATCTCCTCCGCCAGGTCAAGTTTGTTGGCATGTTTCGTGTTACGAAAAATGTGGTCGGACCGTGCACAATCGGCCTCAGAGATGTAACTTGTGTGTGGGTCGTTGAAGTGTACGTTGTTGCCGGCATAGGCTATGCGACATTCTATGTGAACCATTGAATTACTAGTAAATGCCGTGACGCGTGGTGCATTGTGCTTCGGTGTGTATCTACCTATTTTCTGAAAGAAAGTGAGGTCGAAAACCACACATTGGAAACAGATGTGGAGTTGTCGGGAAATTTTAGAGGACCCTACGAAGTTTTGGGCCGTGTGGAATTATTAAAAAGAAGAAATGTTTTTAGGAAGAGTCTAGGAGAAGGAGAGAAGCGTTGGAGAATAGTGTGGTGGTATAGAGGAGAGTCCTGCGTAAGTTGAAAAGGGACAACACAGCGTAATAAAGGCTCCTGACGAAAATCCTCAAAAGCTCACCGGAATTTGCCCAAGTTCTGTAAGTACATTCTGTATATTCTGGTTCTACCGGCGTCCGCGCTTTTAGAGGACATCGAAAACTTTTACAAGCTTAGCAAGCGCTCGGGTGGGGCTCACTTTCACCCCCCCGCCCCCAAAGGTTTTCCCGAACGGCGCAACGTAGCCTGGCCAGTATTTGCATACGTGTAGGCAATTTAATAACGGATTGTTTAACAGAAAATTTAGATGTACCTTGCAGGGTCGCCGACCTATGGCAGGTCAAAGTCAGGCCGTGGTTTCAGGGAAGTCAATTTTTAGGGAATTATTCAATCTGATGCAACAACGGAGTGCTAGACGAAGCTATACATCTCTGAGATGCTTTCTTAGGCAACACGAGTATCGGATACGCAATTAACGTTGACCTAAGGTCACGTATGAAGGTCAGACCAAGGTCAAAACCAGCTTGTTTTATTACTCAGGGGTTGTTGTGGTTTCTGTTGTAGGGGTTGTTGTAATAGTTTCTGGTGCTCATTTCGAATCTGTTGATTGCAGGAACCAACTTACACATGTTCCATTAGCTTCTTAGAGGTCAGAATAGGTCAGTAACCTAAAATGACCCAGGTGAACACTTTGCTTTTAGGAACATACTGCCCAGCGTAATATCTGTCGCTTATTCAACTGCAAAACTAACAGCAGTCTTGCATTATTTTGGTCACCATAACCTTCAAAAAGTCAAACAAGGTCACTAACATTAAATAAGCATGTCACCTTTTACTTATATACAGTTATTTGGGATTTGAAAGTGCTTTGGAGACAATACTTGAGTTTGACCTTGTTTGATCTTATGTTACCCGAAGGTCGTGACCTAGGAACCCCAAACTTTGACCTGAGGGAGTTCACTTACAGGCCAACACACCCTGCAAATTTGGTGTCTCTAGCTTTCTTAGTTCTTGATATCTTAAGGGGGTCAAATTGACTCCTCACGCGAGAGAAAAGTATCTAGCTGGCCGCCCGGGCGCGTGTTAAGAGACCCTCGGATATGCGAGTCGGAGGAGAGTGTGATAAAGGTCCCGAGGGAACCTCTGGATCCCGAGGGACCAAAGGGGCCACGCGCCCCTTATGCCTACTTCCACCCCTCCCTGTCTGCGCCCGTAGGTGGACCTGTAAGTTCCCTTATGTTCAAAACAAGGCGACTTTATTACGCTGCGGGGTCCCAGCTTCACGAAATTAGATCACAGTGCATGTCTGGCGCTTGTAATTATCAAGGATCGGTCACCCGCCTCCAACATTATGATATCAACATGAAACACCGTTCTCGTTACACTTGGCCGAGTGCCTTGCAACCAATAATGTGCATGTCGGAGCGCCGATTATAAGTCTCTAGGCCTTGATACGTGTGTAAAACACGAAAGAAACGTTTTCCAATAGCGCTACACAAAAGTCTGCCTTTGGCTGTAGTTTGATCCAAAATTAAATTATTTCAAAAGTTTTAAATTGCCAGACTCCTTTTGACATATCGCATCATCTGTGTCTCACCGGAAGATCCGTTGACCAGTATTCTTCCCGTACTAATCTTAAATCAAGGTCCATCACTACGTTCCAACAGTAACCTATATACGCCTGAACGGAGATTAGACATTAAACCGGCTTGCTGATTTCGGTCCCCTAATCTTTGTGTTTATAATGGATCGAACTGGTGCCTTGGCAAATTTCATGGCCATAGCTTAACCGGACGTGACATAAATGGGCATTTTGAATTTATGATAAACCTACCGCATCGACTTTCCGAGCGAGAATAAATTCATTGCCGACAGGGATAAAATCACCACCTTTGTGTTAGTTCTCAAAATGAGACACCGACAATCCCCGCAACACACAACATTCGCGTGCATTCGTTATCTGTTGCAGTTATTCTAACACAAAATATTGCACGATTCCGATCGCTCCTGGACGTTCAGTGCGAAATTATATGCCTATTCTTGCGCAATATACCCCGAGAAATGAGTTAGAAATTGGCGTATCGGTCAAGCAACAAGCATTATCCTAATGTTGCTTAGAAATCGAATAAGGCCATCAGAGCCATATTTATGGAAATTCACTCACCGTGTCACGGGCATCCCATTGTGTGACAAGAGGTAAAACACGACAATATACTCACGTTCTTTGTTGTGATGGGTTTCACATTCTGGCATTAGTCAGAGCTCTTGGAGATATTTTAAACTTGGTTTATATGTTGTTTGAATGTCATAAAACGAGTCATCTAACATTTCTAGTCATGTTTTCTACAAAAGAAAGCGTTTTGTATTGTCCTTTGATCGAAATCATTTGCGTCATTCCATCTTGTAAGAAAGCCGAGTTATGAGCTTTATGACACCTTATCATTTGGTATCAAAATATACCATGCAACTTTAAAAATGCGTTGATTTGCACTTACCGCCAGCAAGACGACGGTTGTGAAAAGTAACTGGCACGTCGACGTTTCAAGCTAAGTTGGGTCGAATTAGCAGGGTGCCACAGATTGGCCAAGTTTAGACATTTAAGAGTGAAAATGAAAACGCAACGAAACTTGTACAAAATTGTTACATTACGAGAAAATTAGTCTTCTTTGTTTTATTTTCTATACCGTTGGAAGCTTTAAATGTTGTCAAAATCAACCACCTGATTATAGAAACACGTGTTCCAAATATTCCATCTGAAGTGTTTAACATATAAATAAGTCTATATGACTCCAACGTGTAATGTTTTTTAGTCGCGTACTTCAGGAAAATGAAATCTGACATAATCATTTCCTTACCTTCAGTTCGACATTGCTTATGATCTGGTTTACCTTTTGTTGTGTTTCTTACATAACGTGGACATTGCT